GAGGATGTTATTGTTATTAATATTCTCTGTACTTACTTTAATCTTTCAACTAACATGTAATAAATAATTCTTCATGTTCAAGGTTGGGATTCATATTCCTTATTCTAAAGCTGAATAGATTATTTTCATTGAAACTGCAGGATAGTATTTATGAAGACACTGAACATCCCTTCTATGAAGAGTGGTGCTGCTGATAGGAAATTTTATGTAGACGTTTGTAAGTATCATATGTTCTTATCTAGATTTATGTGTAACCATGCAAAAGAAACAGATGTCCTGTGTCTCTAATTATCCAGGAAATGAACATTCAGGGCAAACCACTTATATAGTCTCCTACCATAGTCAGTAAAGAGAAACAGGTCTTAGAAACCATTGTACACTGAGACGATTCTGGATATGCTCCTTTTTCAATTTTTTGCAGCAATCTAGCCTCAGTCTACATGCCTAACAGTGCTACTAAAGGGCATGAATACCTAGGTGACAGAGACTGTATTTGCTGTCACAAAACTAGTAAAAGATATAAGAACTTGGAAAATGTCATTCAGAAATATGAAAACATCTGTTTGGAGACTATTTTCATTTCAGGCTTCCAGGATGGTGAAGTGCTAGGGCCTGAACAACAGGCCCAAGACAGAGTTGACTTACAGATGAATCCTGTGCACCGTATGATCAATACCCTTTGTACTATTTGACATAATATTAAGACAGAATGAAAAACTGCTGATGCTGATATTTTGAAATAGATAAACCTTATATTATATATAGAATCAACAAACTGCTTATGTTAGCTGTTTTAATAAAATAGACACTGTAAGTCTGATGACTCTTGTGAGGATTCTGTGCAATTGTCTGCAAGGTATTTTAGGAAACCCACCAAACGTGCCCTGGGCTCTGGCCAAGCCCTGGTCTCAGTTGGTTGGAAGGTGTAGCACCAGATATTTCTGCACAAAAGAATATGCAAGTCATTCTGACTTGTTAATTTGGGTCTACAAAAGCTGGACACTCCTGCAGCTACTTTGGAGACCTCCTCTGCAGGTGGACATACCATGTAGAACTTCCCAATTGCCTAGAGAGGTTACCCAAATCCTCGCTGCAACAGGGGCTCCCCAGTGACAGCGGATCTGGATGATGGTAATGTATTTAGGCAATTGGTGATGTATCTTTTTCTTAATCGCTATTGTCTTTCTCTTATAGTAATGATTAAGTGCATTGCCTTGTTTATTTTGTTTGTTGCTTAAACCTAGAGCATAGCAAGTTGTGTTATCAAATATATCGTTTTATTTCTATATTATCTTAATATTAATAGGAAAACGCAATCACTCTACGTTGGTGTCTGTGTCTTTCCTATTGCCCCCATTAACAAAACAGATGGCTACAACTGAAATGGAAAAGATAAGACAAATATTTTTTTCTATATATATATCAAAAACTATTTCACAAAATCAGTATTTTCATTCTTGTATGATATATAGGTCAGTCCTACTTCCACTAAAGGAGTGGAAATTTTGTAGTTTTAATCTCCAAGGACTAAGGAGAGAAGAACAAAGATTAAGCCCCTTATTTTACTTTGAAAAGCTGATGGAGTGGTAGAGACACTCCAATTCATTTGTTTTGGTATACAGAATATGATATCAAAATCACTCAATCTGTTTTCAGTATAATACATGTGTATTTTCCACTATGTTTTGCAAAACATTATACTGTACTTTTGTATTTGAGGATATGACACTTCTCGAGCTCATGATACATGTTATGCATTAGTGCTCATATTTTAATACTTATTAAAATATATCTCAACAGAACTGCAAATTTACCATGAGAGTAGTAAGTGCTATCATTTCCATCAGAATCTCTGAAATGCTTTACAATGAAAGCTGCAGTTTTGAATATGGTTAGACATGTTTTTTGTTTTGGTTTGTTTTTTTCTCCTTTAATAGTTTTCCAAGATGAAATATTTTGTAAGGTGTTATGGTTTGTTCTTTATTTAAATTTTAATTATTCAATAATGAATTATTGAAAAATAATCAAGTTCCCTATTTCCCTTTATAAAAGCAAAAACATATATCTAACACAAGAGAATACTGAACAGAAAGAAAAAGAGCATCATGTTAGAATATTAATCTAAAAATAACACATTCATATAGCACTTTAGTGACTTATTTTTAATATAGTACATACAGTAAATATCACCGTTTTGCCTAAAAATTACTGTCTTCTGCATTTGTTTATTCTGCAATGAACTATGGGCTCAGTTCTTCTTTTAATTCACAGTGAGCAGTATTTTATTCCCAAGAATTCTATATGTCAGAGGGATTACACTATGTGAAGAAAGAAGACAAACCGGCTTTTAGTTAAGAAAAATAAATATGGCCCAGGGACATTATACAATGAGGAAACCCAAACAGTGCCGATAGGAACAATACATATACATTAGTGAAGAATAGATCCACCACTGTGCAGACCACAGTGTAATATTTTCAGTATTGGCATTTCAGTGTGAAAATATTGATGTTTAGTCTTCAGTCCACAAATGAACCCAGGAAATATATACCAACAGAACCAACAGCATACACCAATAAATGGAGCTTTTTGACATTGATAATGTGCTGTTTTATCACTGAAAAAAAAGGAAATCCAAACTTTGAGAAGTATTAGTGAACATATGCATGTCTGACTAAGTAATTCTCTTTTAGAGGAAATCACTTTTTTTAGCACATGAAGAAAGAAAACAAACCTTCAAACATATTTTTCTGAAATCTGTCTTTTTTTTAGAGCTTTTTTTTTTGTTTGTTTTTTGGCAACCTTGTTCATGTGAATGAGTTGGATAAAATATGCATTCTGTGAAGGAGAGCTGGGATCCATTCATTAAAGTCAATGCTCTGAACACTAGCTGACAGAACTGCATTCTTGCCTTTCCTGAAATAAATACATTGTTAATTATTTTTTTCCAGATCAACTCAAATTCAATAGGAAGACTGGTGCATGCCTCTCATTCGCAGCACATACCACTATCCACACCCAAGGAAAGCTTCCTTTGAGGGAACTCCTTTGAGGGTTTGATCCTCTCAGACTGGTAACAGCCAGATGAGTGTTCTTTCTCACTGCTAAGCCATGATATCAAAGACCAGTCTCATTACTACTGTAGATTCAAAAAGGAAAGCAGTTTTGTTCAACTGATAATTCAAAAATATCATTTAAGTCACTTCAGGTTTATGTTAAGAGCATTTAATTTGTATTAGCCATTCATTTTGACTACGAGAAAATTTTAAACGTCAGGGTAAGTTTATTTCCTCTCTAAGACTGAGTTGGACTGCATTTCTAAATAAAAGTAAGGGCAATGTTCCTGGTTAACCTGGTTATGTTTGCTTTGGTACTAGTAGTTAATGATCAAGGAAAGGAAAAATAGAAGAATAACAGTTCATGGAAAAAAACAATGTTGACTAATGATTAATTATCAACTATTTACTGGAAGATCACTGTTTAAAAGTTCATAAGTATTCATAACCATCTGAGATTAGCATATATTTTTAATTTTTAAAAAATTATGTAATTTTCCTTTACAGAATGAACATGTATGCTGCTTTTAATCTATTTTACTGAAGATATGTATATAAATAATACAGAGATTTAGGTGTGCATTAAGAAACAAAAACTTTCTTTGACAAGAGGGTGCTTTTCTGACTTATGTCCATGTATATATCAGAAGATTTATTCTAAAATGTACTTTTTCTCTGTATTGGGAGATTTTCCAAACCTGAACCTGAATTTATCATTACTGCAGTCACTAGGACTGAGGGAACTTTTCTGCTGATAGGCTAAAGCCAGGCAAAATAAGCTTACAGGGAATAATCAGAGGTAGTGGGAAGATCTCTACAAAACTAACATGATCAGAATTAGAAAACAGAGGAAAAAAAACCCCAATATGTAAACTTAGGAAGATATTAACTTTTCATCGAACCAGGATTCTTCATTTTGTGTCTGATCTATTGGCTAGAAATCATCTGGGAAATACTGGTGATAACTTTCACCTCCAGTTGGTTAGCCTGGTACACTTTACATTTGTATCATACATGGACTGTACATGTAGGTATGGAAGGCATAGCAAGCCTTGGAAAGCATGCTGTAGTATCCAGCTACATGCAAATTTCTCACAGGGAGTACTGCATATTGTGAAGGAACAGAAAATGTTGAAGCTGAGATCTGTTAAGATGCCTGCCTAAGTAAACTCTTGCCCTTGAGGTGCTTGGGTTTGATAGTGACACTTGTACTCAAGCAGAATGCTTGCTTACTGTGAGGCATTTTTTTTCGAAAAATTGGTCCCCTAGGTAATATAGAATCCAAGTAGTGCTCATTTTAGTGAAAGGACCCAGGAAAAAGAACAAAAGATATTTGTTGAGACAGAATAACAGATGCAATTATCTATTTTATACAGAGTTGTCATGTCAGATTTATAATTTTACATACATTTCCTTTTGAAAAGGAGTTGCAATGATTAGCCACACAATTTTCTTGCAGTGCTCATAATGAAACTGCCAGTTTCAGGGCAGATTTCCTTGTCACAACTGCCTTTAAAAGAAACACATCACCAGGTATTGTACAAATGCATACTACCACAACATTTTAAATTTATATGTGTGTAAAGTGCAATCCAATTTCTTTTCACAACGAACTGATCATAGCTTTAAATCTTTTGGTAATTGTAGAATGTTTTGTTTAGTCCTCTTTAGTCCAGAAGATCTCTCTCTCAGAGAAATGTTAATAAAAAAGGGTTTCAAGATCTCAAGTGATGTTTGAGAACTTCGCATTTCTTATAAAATTCAAAAATTTCAACAAATAAGTGTTTGTATATTGCCTGGCCAACCTAATAAAAAATAAATTGCTTTGCTTGTTTTGTGATTTCCCAAGATTTTCTGCGTCTCTAGTGAAGAGCTGGAGAAGTCAGTTTTTCTAGGGAATGACACCAGTTAGGACCCAGCTGTATCTTCTCAGGTGGCTTTACTTTATTGATTTGGTGTTTGAGAAGTCCAGACGCTAATGCTCCTAATGATCAGCCATTCTTTTTGACTTTTGGTAACAAGTATTCTCATGCAGTTAATATCAAACAGAACTTTGTGCTCTACATCTGTTATTTCAATATTCCCATTTTTGAATTCCCCTAATCTCAAGTAAGTGGTGCATTGCCTCCCTTTTTTACTCCCTACAATCTTTTCTCCTACTTCCAGGGCCCCATGATGCAAAATGTCATTTTGCCGGTCTTCAGTTCCAGTGACAACTTTAATTTTACTGATTTTAATTGGCTTTTCAAATACAATCCCATAGAAGTCTCCAGTAGAAGGAGCTTTGCCCCAGAAGTATTCATCAATGCTGCTGTAAGCCTTGCTTGCATCATAGTTTTCAAATACATTCATATTGGTGTGTAAGTTTGCAGGTGGGTTGTCAGGGATATCAAATGACTCCTCTTCAAAATCATCATCCTTTAGCTTGTTTTCAGCTCCTTTGTAAGATGAGTAGTATCCCATGTGCTGAAACAGAGATGGCTTAAAACGTATCACTTCCTTTTGAGCTAACAGCCCACGAAAGTGGATAAGCAGCCAATCACAAGGCATTTCTTGGTAGAACATCAATAAAAAATGGGCCAGGCGTGGGAGGTCATGGGAATGGTAAAGTTTTCCAATGTACCCCAGTTTGGAGAATTCCAAAGTCACCCAGTAAGACCCTTCTCGTGAGGTAATTACTTTCTTAACAGCAGTCAAAAAATTCTTTGAGCACCGAACGTCATCTTCTAGCATCACATAATAGTCAGAAAGATTAGCACAAAAGTTAAGAAGAAAAGCATAATCTACATTTTGTTTGGATCGAAACTTCACACGGTCCTCTGGGTCATTATAATTTCTCTTGAGGCCATCCAGTACAGGATAATACTCCTCAGGGACGTGAATAACTATTAATCTGCCCGCAATTATGTGGTGTGCAAATTTCTGTGAAATATCCTGGACCATTCCTTCACACCAGGCTGAGTCAAAATCTGCCAGCTGCACTACCACTGCAATCTCTTTGAGTTCCTCATAACTTGATTGCTCAAATATAGACTTGATGGTCTCAAGCAAGTAGTTTCCTTTCTTCCGTTTCACAGAGGATAACCCAATTGTAAGATACTCTGTACAAAAGACAATTCAAACAAAAACTGAATATCTGACATTGAAAACATTCCACCACAATGCTATCCTCCAGAGCTGTGCCTATATTAAATAAAAATTTTGAATAGTGAAGACTGAGAAATTTGGTGAACTTACTAAGCTGCATGCAACAAAGGACGTTTATTGCCTTTCATGAAAGAAGGATCATATCACAAGCAAATAGACATATGAAGATTATTGCATTAAACATTCACTTGTTAATTGCAAGGAATGGCATGTAGTGAACAAAAGCCAAAGCAGTGTACACGTATATGCCTGGTAGAGGAAACCACACAGACAATGATAAGGCTCTAAAATCTGCTAAAACAAAGGGGATTACGAGATATGATTCACACAAGGAGCTACAAAATGCAGCACAATAACTTAAGCTATATATTAATTGCCAAACTTACATAATTTTGAGCACTCTACAAGACTAGTTACACTTAAGCATAACTTAACATTTTTATGAATGTTGCATGGATGCATGAATGTTGCATGGATGCATTTTTCTGTGTGTTCAGTTTTAACCAAATTTGTCCAATTTTCCTTGCTAATAGTTCTTCTTCTAATTGTCTTTCAGGACTCCTTGAGCATTTTACAGGGAACTTCCACTTGCAAGACGTAATTTTCATATTATTTCAAAGTAGAAGAGAACTTACTACTGCATACCTGTGGTTGTATAAATATTTTCTAATGCCATTACATCTTCCTAGGGAGATATGCATCTTAATTATAAGGGAAAAATGTTCATCTCTGCTGTTTGGAGTTACTGCCATTGCATTTTTGCCAGCAGTTGAAATGAGTATGCTCAGATATTTTCTAATATATCTCAATTTTTCTAACTTCTGATATAAAAAATGTTAAGACTTTATATTTGGCAGGGCATACTTAGTTGAACCTACCCCAACTTTCTTAAAATATTGTGTTTTATAAAAGACTGTTCTGACAAACTGATTCAGAGTTTCCCTCAAGGCTTAAGTCTGCTCAAAATTCACTTGTACAGTGAACTACAGTCCCCAGAAGCTATTTACATTGCCTGTAGAGCCCAACATTTCTCAAATCTAATCTGAAAAAACTTTTATGGCTTTCTATGAATATCAACAAATCACAGATGATTTTATTTTATCTTCTGTGCTTGGACTTCTGAGCCTTGGTTATGTTTGTGAAATGATCAATTTGGAACCCAAAGGACACCTGTCTAAAATCTAGATATGGCAGTATTCCACTTCAAGATGAAAGTCTTGAACCCTGCCTAGAGTCAGAATATCTAGATACTCCATCTGCAGATGTCTGCAAGAAGAATACTCCTTTACTGTCCCCATAATAGCACAATTCTCCTCCCTTGTTATCACAGCTAACTGAACAAGGAGATCCATCCATAGTTGATGGACTGGCAGAACAGGGGACCTGAAAGGTGTATCTATGTGACCCCAAGCATACCTTCAGCTGGATTTACTGATTGTAAAGACAAAGGCTGACAATATGGTCTCAGGGGGTGGTTATAGATCACCACCAGCACCTGCCTTGTTATTGCTTTCTAAATCATCTCCTTCTGGCCTGGGAGGAGATCCACAAAAATATGCTCCCACAGACAATCCAATGGCTGCCTGCAGGTTGACTACAAGAAATATGACAGGGACTATATGGATTTCACTCATTTTTAAATTACCTCATTTCATAACATTCAGATTACAGTTACTTACTTTTCCTTGGCAAAGGCGTGCCAGCTAGGTAGCGATAGGAAATGTTTATAGATCCTGAGAAATTAGACAAATCTTTAAAAGTGTGAACATAGCGCTCTGGGTTGAGCTGGTGCGTGGCTGTTTCTCTGATTAATTGCTTGTCCCCTTCCTATTAGTGAGAAAACAAAAAGAATAGGAGAGGGAGAGAGACAGAGAGAAACACATTTGTGAATGCCAGCTAGAGAGAAAACATGGACAGGCAGGGTTCCAAGAACAACAATTTTCAGTGTCAGCTTTCGTGAAAGCATGTAGATGTCACTTCATTTTTTTTTTAAAACCCATTGCTGAATATCATACATTTTTGGCTACAGAAAATCTACCATAACCCTTCAGATTATGGTAACAGGAAAAAGAAAAAAGATATTTTGGACAAAAACTCTGGAAAGTTTGGAAACACTAACTTATTGCCAAAATAATGCTGCTGTATTCAAAAGAGGTGTAGGAAAGCATCAATAAGCAACAGATGAGAGAATTTTCATAGATGGAGAAGTGGGGGAGATCTATTGAAAATGTTTTCAGTTCTTAAAGAAAAACCCACAAAACCACTGTAAAGAAAGATGAAACTGGGTCCTGGCACCTGGCTCATTTTGCAATTTTTCTGAGTAGCTCCAGCTCAGGTTTGTGATAAGAAGAAATTCATGTCATCATTGAGACAGCCAAAGCTTTCTCTGGCTTTCGTGAAGACTGCTTGATGGTATAAGAAAAAAGGCAAATTTATCACTATAGCTCCTCTTACTGCCTCCTTCTCCTGTCTTTTTCTTTCAAGAGGCTTCCTTAGCCATCATAAACTCACACACAGGAAGGAGCAGCTTCATTAGCAGTGCTCTATCCATAAGCTCAGTTGGATCTCCGGAAAAATCTGTTCCTTAGTCCTTAAGAAAAGGCAAAATATCTAACAAGTTGTAGTGTCATGAGACTGAATTTAAGGTTAGGAATGATTATTTAACTTACACGACTTGGTTCTAGTATGATGACAGGCCATTGTATGAATGAGTTCATTTTTTCTGATATATACAGTATGTAAAAGCACTAAAAACTTCCTAATCTGTCATTAAATAGTAGCATTGCGCAGTGATAGTATTGATGCTAACAAGAACGACCACAGAAACAGTAAACAGCACTCATATTTAATGGTATAAATATCAAAAAATGTGTCAAAGACACATTTTATAATGCAAAGAAATATTTTTGTGAACTAGTCCTAGATTCATTTTAACTTCATTATTTTTGTTTCATGGAAGGAATAAATAATACACATCTGAGCTTAGTAAAGATCTTTGGCAGACAGCTGGGGGCTTCTACCTGCACTGTTACTCTCTCTTCATCTGCAATGCTTTTCCAGTAATTTCTTTCTAGTGCTCCTACAATACTTTGCAATTGCTCCTAAGTTATGGGAGGAAGGTTTATGTTAATTGGATTCCAGATTAGAATGTAACTCAATAGGCTAGAAAGTGAATGCATCTAAACTTCAGGAGATTTCCTATGAAAATCAAAAAATGTCAAATTGAAAAAAAAAAGAGGTGGTCCAAAAACTTTCTTTTTTTAAACCCAGCCTTTCTTTAATGTCAAAAAACATCACGTGTCATTGGTTCCAGAAAGGAACACCACAATCATTCATTTCGTAAGGTTTTGGAATGGAAACCCACTGTGCTAAGGTTTTTCTACATGAAAAGTTTCAAAATGTTTGGAAATACAGAATATCAGGACAAAATGTTCTGATTTTAACAAGCAAAATATTTAAACCAACCACAACAATTTTCCTTTTTTTTTCCTTTAAGAAATGTCTTTTGTGGCTAACAATCTTTTTTAAAATTGTTGTTGCTTTCATTCCTTTGTTGAATGAAAAGAAAAACTGAAATATGGATTTTTCCAAAAAATTTAAATCTGGTTCTTCTATCTCTGACTACTATGCAGAGGTCAGTGAAGCTGAAGAGCTTGATTAGGTCTCTTTGGTTTTCTCTGATTTTTTCTATGATAGTTCTGGCTTTCATCTGATAACTAACCACTAACTTACATTCCAGTGTTTGCTGAAGCCTGGGAGATTCCTGTGGGTTCCATTGGACAAAGTGCCAGAAGTTCTCCATTCTTTACAAAGATAGTCTGCTCCACTATGGATGCTGTGTCAGCTACAACAGTACTATTGTTTTCATAGTGCCTAAAATAATGATTAGCATTCATAGAAGTGTGCAGAAGGCATGCTTCACTTACAGTTCTCTCACAGCTCATAATATGTATAAAAAATCACTGCATATATTGTGCTATCTGGTTATATTAATTCAGTATGTCTTCAAAATATTTGATTAGATGTGGCTCACAAGCTTCAGACAAGCACCTTAAACTGCTCTGCTGACACACATGCATTAGCACTGTATATTGCTCATCAAACATAAGCAATTTTCCAAGGTGAACCCTTACTTTCCATTTCCACAGCAAATGCCCTGCAGAAAACAGTGAAAGGATTCTTTAGACATGTGAGAGTCTCTAAGCAAAAGTGAAAAGTTCTCCTCTCCTTTCTTGAGATTTGCCACAAGGAATCTCACTGTAATATTCTAATGTCCTGAAAAAAGGCACTTACCTCATCTTAACTCTGGTGAAAGAGATACTAGCCCTGCATCCCCTTGCACAGCCTGCTGCCTGTGACTGGGAAGAGAAACTCTGGGTCAGTTGCTTTCCTTTACCGGTTACCTTCAAGAGATACTCCAGCAGGACACTCACTATAATTTCAAAGCCAGAGGGCTTTTGGGTTTCTGAGAACTTTCAGATTTCCATTCTCTGAAGGAAACTGGCTAGCATTCTGTTCTTGAAAGCTATCCCCAAGTCTCCTCACCATCAACACTGTAACTGCTCATCTTTTACCTCAGCAGAAAAAACACACTAGACAAGGTAACAGAGCTGTCAGACATGGTCAGGAAAGTTGAAAATAATAATAAAACAAAAAACCAAAAAACCAAACAAAAACCTAAAAAGTCAACAGCCTAATACATTTGAAAAAAATGCTTGATGGACAATGAAGTTATCAGGCTATCTGGGAGAACTGCCAGGAGATTTGGCAAGAAACTTCTCTGGGAGCTACAAGAATGCAAACATGCCAGAACTGTGATGAGAAAAGCAATGAAAGAGAGTGAATTTTTTAAAAAGGGAGAAAAACCAGAAATTTAGGAATAAGACATGGAGCCATCTGGGGAGCTGGCAAACAGCACAGGAAAAGATTTCAAAAACAAACCAAGAACACCACCATTAGCAGTGATAATAAAAGCGCTTTCAGAAACATCTGGGGGACTTTGAAGAAGTTAGTGAATGGAGAAGAAGCATCAGGAAAAATACCACTGGAAAAAATAAAGAGTGTGATAAGCCAAGTCAAATTTGATCACAACCAAGAAATGATGAATAAATAAAACAGTGCAAAAGCTTAGTACAAATACTGTTAGAGAAAGCAATATGTCTGTAATGGAGTAACATGGTAGAAGCATGTCTTTTTAACAGTTTAAAAAGTACTATCATAGTCTTATAATTGTAAATATTTAAAATATTGTTATAAGTAAAATATTTCAAATTAAAATCACTAACAAGTTATCTATGGTTCTGGATTTTACTATTTGTATATTACACTTTTTTCATACTATGGTGTTTCTTTTCAGATCCAACTGGGATCAGACTTCACCTTTAGGAATATTGGAAAGCCCATACTGTCCCAGTTTGATGAGGCAAATCAGGAAGAAGATGGCACAGAGTATCAGAAAGCCATTCAGTAATTCAATTCAAGATCAAGAAAGGGGACTGTCTAATCATCTCACAATGTTAGATACTCAGTTTAGTCATTCACTATTTGCAAGCTTGTTATTAAGCTACTATATTCTTTTACTGGTCTCAGTCCAACCTCCAAAGAAAGGGAAATTCAATCCATTAATCAAATCTTCAGGGCTTTCTTGATGATGAGCACTGAGACACACGGAGATTACATATAAACTGCAGAGGTATGCCACATTGTCAGTAGGTTACTTGTTGAAATCCCTAACACAGATCTTTCCATAAATCTTTCTCACACTCATAAACTTGCACTAGGTATCTTTTATGCCTAATTGTTAATGCTGTAGCACTGAACCCCCAGACTCAAATCTGAGATACAGGAAGTACAAATAACAAAAAAAAAAAAAACACTGAAAAGAAATTATTTGTGCAAGAAGCTTAAAATGTATGGAATTAGTGTAAGTTCTCTTCTATAATTATATTTCTGGAATATTGTTTAATGCAGTATTCAGAGGTGAAATTTGCAGTGTGGACTGAAAAAGGAGCTCCTAGATCATATGAATATCTCAGATGTAGGCAATTAAAATAGAGAGAAAACCAGAACTATGAAAAATACAGGGATTGTTTTGACTCAAAGGAAGATACCTGTTCAGATATCTCCATATTTTGCTATGTTCATTATCTCCCATACTTCCAGTACACAATGACATATTTACTTCTGTGAAAAGGACTGTTAGGGTCTTACTGGCACATCCTAGTATGTATGTGTAATATATATTGATAAGGTGGCTTCATTACAAAGCACACATTTTGATCATACTTCACTGTTAATGGTACACTAACAGGGGGAATTGCAAAAATTATGAACTTTACTGCTTAACCAGGGATGTGTCGTGTTCTGTTGTTCCAGGATCATTCCTTCCATCTGAAAAACTTACCAAAACATATCCATCTTCAATGTACAAATTCATGAACAGCAAGCAAATTACAAGGACTCCTAAGAATGACACTGCTGATCGTTTCCGCAAGCATCTCATTTTATCACAATATTTCAAGCTGTGTCTCATGTGAAGAACAACATGTAATAGTGTCACCTATGGAAGAAAACCACAGTATTACATGAACTTGTCATCTGATAAGCATGATAACAAACCAACTTACCATTAGATGTATCAAATCTTTTAAATATTCATAGCCTATACCCTTTAAGGTGGAATTAATTTAATTTAATATACAATTCTCTATAATTTAGAGGGGGGGAGAGCTGTCCTTTTTTTTTTGTGTGTCACTAAAGTAAAAAGCACACTTTGTCCTACCCATTTTAGACTGGAATTATGATGTCGGTGTGGTAGGAGTGAATCAGCAGTTGAGCTTCCCATGTATAACTGCCAGATCCCAGCTTGATGGCAAGAGATGATGCACATTGTCTCCCTGTCTACCAGTGTCTCCTTCCAAAGACAGCTTAGGCCAAAGCTATTGCATGACTCAGTATCATTGCCCATAGGAGAATTCTGGATACCAGACCTACCAGGCACAAATGAGGTACCTTCCCTGCAGTGAGAAGGCAGTAACAAGCCTCAGACCTCTCTACTAGGGAAGAAAAGCTCACTGGAAGTGTAATTTTCTACATAAGAAGGAAGATAGATGTCTACCTTAGACCAGACACATCTGAGGAGAGTATTGGAAAGTCTTTACCCTATTAGATGAATTGGACAAAGAAAGGATCAGAAATCCACTCAGTATTCAAGATCAAGAAAGAGGACTCTCTAGTCATATCACAATATCACAAACAATAAAACATACTCAGTTTAGTCCTTTTATTATTTAAAACAAGATAAATTCTCTTTGTGGCTACCAAATCGGAAACATTAACCTGTGTAGGACTACATGTGTTTGAAAAAGATCTGGACGCAAACTAAAGAAAGAGACTCCAGTTCAGACTGCTAAGACTCTGATGGATTCTTAACTAAAAAGAAGACTATAAGCTCATTATTTATGTTCTCATTTGTTTAAGTACAAGTGTATTTTGGTTATTATCCATAACAATGTCTGATTTTTCTAGCAAATATAATATATAGAAGTCACGTACAAATGGAAAGTTTAAAGCTAGCATATGTGAAGTAGTAAATAGTGCTGCATGCGCAGTGCTTAACCCTGAATTTAAGTACCTTCATATTTCAAGTGCTGAACATCTAAACTGACACAAAATAGGCCAAATTAGGAGCTACAGAAAAGATTTTTCATGTCATAGAAAATTTTCTGGCCTAATAACAAAAAACATTCCAAGTACAAAATTCAATCTATATTTGCTTTGCAAAACTGATTAAATATATCTAACAGTATAAAATATGAGTTCATTAGACTCTAGAGAACAGGTAGGTAAATGCATCAAGTACTGGTTACACAAATGTTTAACTGCAAGGTTTTATCTGTATAGATTCAAGATGAACTGCAGAAAATGGACATCAGCTGTACACCGAATGATTTAAAATCATGATGTTGAAAATAAGAACAACTTACCTGTTGCACAAAAGAAAAAAATACAGTTTAGTAACAATATAGATTTCTGTCCCTGTTTATTTGAGGGTGGGATGAATTGCAGCAGGCTGATTATCCTGAAGCTGAAAAAGTCCAATGTAGCTATTTTTTAGGTTACAGCAATGATCTCCTTTTCCTTAATATCTAATGAAAATAAATATCACTAAGGACCTGTCAGGGCCATGAATCTCTGAACTCTTGCCCTTCCACCTATGACAGCACGGTGGTTGCTGGGTGTCTGTGGATTCCAGCAAGCTGTTGTGGAAATGAAAGACTGCCCTGTTTTAGAAAAGATCATGTTACACATGCAGTTTGGGTTTCATTTTGCTTTTTTCCTCCTTCCCTTGCCCTCCCCTAGTATAGCTACTGATTTTCAAAGAAATACACTTTTAAAAATTTATCAGAGGATCACTGGATTAAATACTGACACTTCGCAGATAATGGTGTGAACTAACCTGACTACTGAAAATTCAAGCAGTCTGGGTTGGAGTGCTTGCAGGCACTGGCAGCTTGAGATGTAGCAGCACACTACAGTTGCACACATTGAATTTTTTATTTTGAAAACTTGGAAATAAGTAAATGTTTGAGGATTGTTTTGGTTTGTTTTTTTTTTTCAGTCACAGGATGATGGTATATGCCATAATTTCTTCTTGGACTGCAGTATTACACTCTTCCCTCATCTTTTCCCTGAGCAGTCTGACTGAAGTCCCTCAGGGTGAGGAAGGAGATTTAGAGCTATATTTGTTGGTCATACTTTTTCCCCATTGCAGTTTTATTTAAATCATTACTATGCTGGATTAGGAATAAAAATTGAGGGAATGACAAGGGTGAGACTGGAGGAACATAGGACTTTCATTACCAAAGCTGATGATACAGAGAAAGAGGCGAGTATGTCCACCTTTCCGAGGAAAACACTTGCATTTCTTGTGTTGGTTTCACACAAGTCATTGTAACATTCCTGTTTTACAAATAGATTCCTTGAAACGGTTGAAAGCAAAACACCATTCCAGTGAGGTTGCTTTGTTCATAAGACCTATTGGTAGGTTCATAGTAACTGAAGGAACTGAAGGGAAGGACTCCCCTACTAGGGCACGTCACAGAGGAGGCATGACGCCATCACTAACACCAGATGGCAGTGCCGATGCGTTCATTGCCAGCATTCAACATGCTGTTAAAACTATTCCTTCCGACAAGTTTGTCTGAAGGTATTTGACGTAAGTATACTGTAAGCCTTTAGTTAAAAATCTGCACACATTCATATATATATACAGACAGAATTACTTACATCAATAAGCCAAGTCCTTGAAACCAAAAATGAATTTAAAATATTTAAATTTAAATCTATTCAAATTTTTAAACATATTTTATTTTTGATGTCAATGTAGCTGTTCCCAAGAGGACAAAATGAGAAAAAGCAAGATTTTTTCTTTTTTTTCCTTTCTCTTTGGAGGAAATAATTATTTCTCCAGACCATACACATGCACACTTGCTGTGGTGTACCATTTCGTATTGCCCTGGGTTCAGCTGCAGCAGCCATTTTTTCTCCTTCTTAGTAGCTGGTGCAGTGCTGTGTTTCTTGACTTTCAGTCTGGGAACAATGCTGATAACACCGATGTTTTTAGTTGTTGCTAAGTAATGTTTACTCTGACCAAGGACTTTCGCAGTCTCATGCTCTGCCAGAGAGGAGGGGAAGCCAGGAGGAAGCAGAGGCAGGACACCTGACCCAAACTGGCCAAAGGGGTATTCCATACCACAGCACGTCATGCCCAGTATAGAAACTGGGGGGAGTTACCCGGAAGGCCCAGATCGCTGCTCGGGTCAGGCTGGGTATCAGTCGGTGGGTGGTGAGCGGTTGTGTCCTTTTCCCTTGTTATTCCTCTTATCATTATTATTGGTAGCAGTAGTGGTTTGTATTATACCTTAGTTACTGGAGAGCTGTTATCTCAACCCGTGGGAGTTACATTCCTCCGATTCTCCTCCCCATCCCTCCGGGAGTGGGGGGAGGAAGGAAGAGGTAGGGAGTGAGCGAGTGGCTGCGTGGTTCCAAGTTGCCGGCTGGGCTTAAATCACGACACATATTCAATCCATTTAATTCTTCATCACTTTCTGACAATACTAGGGATTTGTGCTTTGTCCTGCTTTCAAAGATAATTATTTACTTTCCTGTTCTGTTTCCTCCTCAGTCAAATACATAAAAAGGCTCTATGGTGTTCCTTTACCCTTAAGTATGCCAACCTGAGTTAATGTCTTAGTCTTACCTAACCAGTAGAATCATAGAATAGTTAGGGTTGGA